TTGTCTTTTGGGGCCCCCCTTTTATCTGTGTTTTATTTTGGCTCTTCGACTGTTCCCTTATTCTCCTGGGGCCTTTCCTCTATTTTCTTCCCTTCCCTAGCCACCTTGGTTTTTGCCCCTGACCCTTTGGGTAAAAAATGGGCTCACCTGGTTTTTCATTATCCTGTTACCCCCGGGTACAAAACCCCCTCGCCCCCCTTGCATTTTTTTGCCATTTCCTTACTCATTAAAATGGGGTTCCCCGCCGTTTTCTGTGTGTGAGTGTGTGGTGTGGTGTGTGTGTGTGTGTGTGTGTGTGTGGTTTTGTGTGTGTGCATGAGTGTGTGTGTGTGTGGTGTGGGTGTGTGTTGGTGTGTGGGGTGTGTGTCATAACTCTTCCTTTTCCCGCACAACCCCTTTTCCCCTACCACCTAACCTTCCACTCCACATAACTCTTCCATCCAGCATAATCTTCCTACCCGCACTAACTTTCCCCCCATCACTAACTCTTCCATACCAGCACTAACTCTTCCCCACAAATTCTTCCACTACCAGCAAATTTTTTCACTAACATCATAATTTTTCCCACTCCGCACTAACTCTTCCACTCCCAGCATAACTCCCCTACCACACTAACTTTTTCACTAACATCACTAATCTTCCTACAGCACTAACTTTTCCACCCCAGCATAACTTTTCCCATCCCAGCACTAACTCTTTCACAAACACACTAACTTTCCATACAAACACTAACTCTTCCCTCCCACCAACTTTTCCATACCATCACAAAAACTTTTTCACTAACATCACTAATCTTCCACCCCAGCACTAACTTTTCCCCTACCAGCACTAACTCCCCATACACACAAATCTTTCACTAAACCAAATCTTCCACTCCCCATAATCTTCCCTACCAATAACCTTTCACAACCATCCTAACTCTTCCACTACCGCAAAAAATCTTCCACTCCCCGACAAACTTTTTCACTAACATCCTAACTCTTCCACTCCCACACAACTTTTCCCACTAACCAGCACTAACTCTTTCACTAACACAAAACTCTTCCACACCAGCACTAATCTTCCACTCCCAGCAAAAAACTTTTTCCCACAACTCACTAACTTTTCCCTCCAGCCTAACTTTCCCCTACCAGCACTAACTTCTTCCACTACCCACAAACTTTCCCACTCCCATCAAACCTTCCACTACCAGCACTAACTCTTCCATCCCACACAACTCTTCCACTACCGCACAAACCTTTCCCTAAATCACAACTCTTCATACCACACTAACTTTCCATACCACATACTCTTCCATACCAGCACTAACTTTTCCCACTACCACACTAACTCTTCCCTACCAGCACTAACTTCCCCTACCAGCACAATTTCCACTACCGCACTAACTCTTCCCTACCGCACAAACTTTTTCCTAACATCACTAACTCTTCCACTCCCATCACTAACTCTCCACTCCCCACACTAACTTTCCACTACCAGCACTAACTTTTCACTAACTCATAACTCTTCCACTACCAGACTAACTTTTCCCCACTCCCACCCCTAACTCTTTACTACCACACTAATCTTCCATACCACACAAACTCTTCCACTACCACACTAATTTTCCCATACCATCACTAACTCTTTCACCAACCACTAATTTTCCCACTCCCGCACTAACTCTTCCACTCCCACACTAACTCTTTCACTAACATCATTTTAACCCTTCCCCACTCCAGATAACTCCCCACCCCAGCATAACCTTTCATAACATCACTAACTTTTTCCACCCCCAGCCAAACTCTTCCACTACCAGCACTAATCTTCCCCTACCAGCACAAAACCTTTCACTAACATCACTAACTCTTCCCTACCCACTAATCTTTACTACATCCTAACTCTTCCACTACCAGCACAAAACCTTCCACTACCGCATAACTCTTCCACTATCATCTCTACTTTTTATATTTTTCCCTTTCCTACTTTCTCTTTCCCGTCTCTGCTCCCTCTCGTATACATTCGGGCTCCCTCCCCTTGTGTGTTGTGTGTGACAAATTTATAGTTTAAGTCGCTGAAAACGTTTTTGTTTTTTTTCCATGTTTGTTACTTGTGTACTGTTCTTGTAATCGCTGTCCTTTCGGTATTTTAAACAGAAGATGGAAGCCCGGTTGTCATATGTCAGTTTCGTTATTTACGAGGTAAGTCTCTCGACAGCGGGCAGAAAGGAGCAATGTTCCCTTAATTAAGAACCTGTAAGTTCTAGACCAATTGTCCATAATGTGTGCATCACATTTTTAAAAAGTCTTGCGGGACATTGTAGTGGAATAAAAAACATTCTCGGAAAAAAAAAATGGAAGAATATTTACGTGTTTTTTTACAGGGGACCTCAATGGGAAAAACAAGAGGGAGAGTTTCAAACTTGCTCATGTTTTGCACAGAGACAAATTTTATTCCGTCCTTTAGAGTATGAGAGGGGAAAGTTTTTGTCCATCGTGTCGCAAGAGTGCTTAACTAAGTACGGGGGGGAAAAAAAGCCGTAAGTATTTTGGATGAGGAATAAACAAAATTGTCCATGAGCTAAACTGAATTCCGATTAATAAAAAGATTGTCTGCAGTTGTTCTGAAAAAACGTTTGACGAGTAAAAGAAAAGGACCAGATGTAAAGTAACAGTAACAGGGCAGCACTGAAAGTAACATAACAGGACCCGCAGTAAAGTAACATAAAGGACCAGCAAATGTAAAGTAAAAAGGACAAAATGCAATAAAGTGACATTTTTTATTGTGGGAAAAGTTTCGCTCTCCAGGAGCTTTATCAAGCCGTAACGGCTTGACAAAGCTCCTGGAGAGCGAAACGTTGCCACAATAAAAATGTCTCATTAGTTGCACTTTTGTCCTTTTACTTTACATATTGTCGGTAATTCTACCAACAGGACCAGCATTATCAGTTACAAGTCTAGGTCGTTTCAGCTGGAGTCTTGAGCAGATTTGTCCTTTGACGTGCAAGCGAACCGGTAATCGATGAACTGGAGAGAAGAGCCGGAATCAAGGTCAAGGTCGGAAGGTCAAAAGCCATCAGCCGGAACTCAGGTACTGGAGTCAGATGACGAGATATTGCGCGACCGCGCTCTGGTTCCTAGAAAAGTCCGTAGAAAAGTCCAAGGTCGTGCCGGGGTCATTTAAGGATGTCGCTGAGGATGGAAGGCAAATGATTTATACGGGTATCCATGATGGTGTTTTCTTTTTCACACAAAAAAAGAAACATCGTAGGTATCGCCGAGGAGAAACAAAAAGAAATCTGACACCCACCGCGTCCAAGTGGACCCTTGGCACGGCAGTAGTGCAGATGTTGCATCGAACCTGTCCCTTGCCCTTCCCCTCACGACAGTAAACCAGCAATCAAGGATAATCTCACATCCTCCAAGCCACCTCGGAAGACAAAAAAGAGAGAGAGACCTGAATCCCGCTGAAAGCCATACACCACCCATCCAGATGCCGCCGCCCGGAACCTACAGGTAGCCTCTACTTTAAGGACTCTAGTAGCAGTACTCTGGAACTCCAGTGGGCAACTCGGCAAATCCCTATATGATCCAGATTCCCAGGCAAATGCCACGACCACCGAGAGACTCAACGGAATAGTACAGACAATGATCCCCTTTCCCTTAAACCTAGGAGCTGTAATATGCGAGGGGAAAAGCCCCAAAGGCCGAATGGTTAGGAGGGGTGGGGGGCAGATGGAGGGGAGGGGTGGTGGAAATTAGATTTGGTACGAGGAAGAAGACAAAAAAGGTACAATTCCTTAAATCAACAGCCTCTTCACCATATATTTGCTACACTGATGCATTACATTAGTGTACTTTTACTGCAATAATTAAGTAAAATATGTTTTATTACCAACCTCCTGCAAGTTCCATAGTGATCAGAAAGCAGGACATATACTCAGTGCTCACCCTATATATTTACATAACATATTTAGAATCCGCAGGTACAATTTTTTTAGGGGATTAGACTGAAGGATTTCTCAACCATTAGAATTTTATTAGAAATGTACTTGCTGCCTGTTTCTCCCTCAAATCTTATTTCCTTCATTACCATTACCTTTTAAATGTAAATATTAGAGACAGCATTTAAATACTATGGTATCTCAAACTCAAAACGAATATTCGGGATTTCAAGAATTACTGGAACCTATGTGGGTGTTGTGGAAAATTAAATATACTTGGATGTAACTCATAAGATACATACCAGTAAATGGTAACAAAGATAATTATTTTTTTTATCAAAGTTACAGAGACAAGTAGGAATTTTAGGACACCTAGGTCACAAAAAATGTCCCCCTACGATACCTACTACTGTCATATCCACAAGTCACTCTTGACCTATATTAATTTCAAATGAAATATACATTACCAGGAATTATGGTAAACATTAATATATATATGTGGACTGTATGTTAAAATTAATAAATGATTACATATACACATTTAGGTAACAAAAGGAGAATTTATAATCATAACACTCACCAATTTGTCTGGAGATTACTGTGTATCTTACCAACCCCCTTGCATAAATTTATGAAGAAAATACTAGCCAGAATTCGTACATAAATAGACAACTTAGCTGGGGTTCTGAAGCTGTCCGTTCCATCTGCTTAATGCTCACATTATGCAGGACTGCAAATCCAACAATTTCGGCTCCTATTTGAGAGGTTTTAAGCCCAATATAACCCCTAGAGCGACGAAAATTATGCACATTACAATAATGTGCTTGTATCACATTCAAAAACAATGGCATCTCTTCCCCAGCGACGCTCACCTATCGCTGGCTTTTTATTTATTTACAAATTAATTTTTATTACCTACAATATAGGACATCAATTTACATATAAAATACTGTATTTCCGGAAAATTTATACAGTATTTTCCACAGGTGTAACAACCAGAAATTTAATAAGAGCACTGAACAGGCATTTTTAAGAATTTAATATTCTTCTCTTGGATACATCTTCTCTTTCTGAACAGGGCTTAAAGTTATGATGGTATGTTTTGAAAAGCAGTTATCACAAGATTGGCATCGTATTCTGCATTGTCTTCGAGACTTGGACTCCCGGGGTGAAGGTGGATTAGCTCTCTGGGACTTCCTCGACTTTGTTGTCTCCTGCCGGACGCCGCTCTTCATTCAGATGAGACCATTCATACTTACTAAGGTACTGTAAAAACAGCCTACACACACACTGTAATAACACACCCACACACACACACACACACACACACACACACACACACACACACACACACACACACAAACAAACAAACAAACAAGCACCATGGGTAAGGCAAAGCTACTAGTTATGGATGACTTCAATAACAAGGAGATTGATTGGGAATACCTGGAATCACACTGGGGCCCCGAGATATGGAAAGCCAAAATGATGGATGTGGTACTGGAAAATTTCATGCATCAACATGTTAGGGACACTACCAGAGAGAGAGAGAGTGGTGAGGATGAACCAGCAAGACTTGTCCTCGTATTCACCTTGAGTAGCTCGGACCTTGAGGACATCATATATGAGAGGCCCGTCAAAGCTAGGGATCATGTGGTCTGAGCTCTGAATACATAGTAGAGTTGCAAGTGGAGAGGGTAACAGGAGTTGGATGGGAAAAGTCAGACTGCAAAAGATGGGAGTACACAGGCATGAGGAACTTTCTGCAAGATGTTCAGTGGGAAACAGAACTGGTTGGAAATCAGTAAACGAAATGAGGGACTACGTGGTAACAAAATGTAAGGAGGCAAGGGAGAGATTTATTCCCAAGTGCAATTGGAAAAAGAAGGGAGACCAGAAACGAACGACTTGGTTTTCCCGAGTGCAAAAGCTAGGTGACTAGAGAATGGAAAAAGTACAAAAGACAAAGGACCAGGAAAAAAAGAGATACTCGAAGGGGCCAGAAACTGGTATCGACCGGAAGAAAAGGAGTAGCACCATGACAGTACGAAAACGACATTGCGTGGCTTTAGTCAACAGTTTCCCACGGAGGGGATATTCTGGCAGTGAAATTGGAGGTAGGAACCATAGTTTCATAAGAAGAGGTATGATGATTAGTCATGGTCCAGTGGAGAGGAGAACGCCATAAGGATCAGTGAAACAGGCGCCCAGGAGCTGCCGATCGACCCTGCAACGACAAATAGGTGAGTAGAAACACACACACACACACACATAGCAGCGAAAGCCAAATCTGACCCGAAGCTGATGTACAGCCACATCAGGTTGAGGAAGGAAGGACGGGATACCACAGGAAACGACCAAGAAGTATGTGAGGAGCTCAACATAAGAATCAAAAAAGTGTTCACAGTGGAGACAGAATGGACTCCAGAAAGACGGAGAGGTGGGGTACACCAAGTTGGACACAATACATGCAACCAAGGAAGAAATGACGAAGCTGCAAACCGAGCTAGATACTTCAAAGGCGATGGGGACGGATATCTCCTCTCCATGGGTCCTGAGAGAGGGAGCAGAGGCGCTATGTGTGTTCCACTTACAACAATCTTCAATACATGACTCACGAAATCGTAATGACACGATTGCAAACAAACCATACCACGGACGGGTTTAGAACCCGCGATCAGATAGTCTCAAAACTCCAGACCGTCGCGTTAGCCACTGGGCTTGCTAGCCAAAATAAGATTCGTCCAACTAGGTATATTTATACTCCATAGGAACGTTAGCATAGGCACCACTGTGACCACACATGCAAGTTTTTACAAATAAATCTCCAGCTAGCGTGGCCGTGACGAACACTAGCTCAAGTACCCACAAAGCCGTCAACATGACTCATGAAATCGTAATGACACGATTGTAAACAAACCATACCAGTGGTGTCTATGCAAACCTTTCTATGGTGTATAAATATACCTAGTTGGACGAATTTTTGTGGCTAGCTGGCCTAGTGGGTAACGCGACGGTCTGGAGTTTTGAGACTCTCAGATCGCCGGTTCTAACCCAGCCCGTGGTATGGTTTATCTTCAACACATCTATCGAAACAGGGCGACTACCTATAGGTATGGAAGACAACAAATGTTTCCCAATTTTTTAAAAAAGGAGACAGACACGAAACATTAAACTACAGATCAGTGTCACTGACATGTATAGTATGCAAAGTCATGGAGAAGATTATCAGGAGAAGAGTGGTGGAGCAACTAGAAAGGAATGACATCAACAACAACCAGCAAGGTTACAGGGACGGGAAATCCTGTGTCACAAACCTACTGGAGTTCTATGACAGGCTGACAGCAGTAAGACAAGAGATAGAGGGGTGGATAGATTGCATTTTCTTGGAGTGTAAGAAGGAGTTTGACACAGTTCTACAAAAGAGATTGATGGAAAAGCTGGAGGACCAGGCAGGCATAACAGGGAAGGCACTGTAATGCATCAGGGAATACCTGTCGGGAAGACATCAGTGAGTCATGGTACGTTATGATGGTATCCGAGATGATGCCTGTGACAAGCGGGTTCCACAAGGGTCAGTTCTAGAACCAATGCTGTTTCTGGTGTAAGTGCACGACATGACGGAAGAAATAGACTCAGATGTGTCCCTGTTGCAGATGATGTGAAGTTAATGAGAAGAATTCAATCAGGCGGGGACCAGGCAGAACTACAAAGAGATCTGGACAGGGTGCAGGCCTGGTCCAGAAACTGGCCCTACCAAGTGAAAAGTCATTAAGATTGGGGAAGGGCAAAGATGACCGCAGACAGAGTACAGTCTAGGGGGCCAGAGACTACAAACCTCACTCAAGGAAAAGGATATAGGGGTGAGTATAACACCGGGCTCATTTCCTGAGGTGCACATCAACCAAATAACTGCTGCAGTATATGGGCACTAGCAAACCTGGGAAAAAAATTTCCAAATTTCTAAATTTTGGAAATCGTTCAGCCCCTGTCGCGGCCAAAATAAAGGGCCCCTGAACTCAGGCCTACAGGGAGTTACAGCACCATTTTGGGAACCCCACCGGGACAAGCCGAAAGGAAATTAGAGAATGCAAAGATTTTTAACAAGACTTTCCCGATTGTGGAAGGGAAAAGGGGCCGCAGACAAGTTCAAGCAAAGGGGGGGCCGAAAGACTGCAAACCTCACTCGGGGAAAAAGGATGCTGGGTCATTAAAAATACCTAGCACATCTCCTGGGGTGCATGCTAAACCCAAATAAGGGCTGCAGCATAGGCCCGGGCAAACCAAAGAATACACCCCGAAAAACCTTAAAAAGGAATCTTTTTGACTCGTCACCGTGTACGTCGGGTCAACGGGAGTATCACCCCCATTTTGGGAAACCCTAACCTGGTCATGACAAAAGAAAAAGAATATTTTGCAAAAGAAAGCCCAAAGAACAAAGGGGAATGCTCAACAAAAAAAGGGTTAAGGGAAATCGACCTGAGACACTAAAGGGACAGGAAGGATATGGGGATATGATAACTACATAAAAAACACTGCGGGGAACTACTAGGTGGAAAAGACAGGATGTTCCAGAGGGGGACACAGCAACAAAGGACCAATTGGGAAGTTGAAGACTCAGATGAACCAAATGAATTGGGAAAGTTTTTCTTCTGTCATAAAATTTGTCAGGAAGTAAATAGCCCGGAAAATGATGTAGAGGGGCGGGATCCAACATGATTTTAAGATGAGGTTTTGATGAAATCTCAGGACAGGGGAGAGAGGACCAAATAGAAACCATGAAAAGGGCGGGGCCCAAGACTATACTCGCCCCCTGAACCCACAATTAGGTAGGTGAGTACACCATACACACCACACCACACACACACACACCACAACACACACACACACAAACACACCACACAAAACCCACCCATTCACACACACACCCACACAAAAACACACCAACACACACACACACACACACACACACACACTACACACACACACACACACACACACCACACACACACACACACACACACCCAAACCCACACCACACACAGAAGAAAGGCAGAAACTGAAGGTACAAATCCTTTACAAACTCCCCCCCCCACAGCAACCAATTGTTACTTCCCAGGTCCCCATTCCCCAACCCCAACTCCCCCCCCAGACCACAGTTTTAGAAAGAAGTTGAAGGGTGGTATAAAATGCAGACGGAAAAACAAAAATGTAGGAGTTGTATGAAAGAATCAAGGGGACATCCCCCCCGACTAACAGCACTCACAGAAAAAAAAAACACAGGGTGATAACAGATGCAATCTTTCCACCTGAATATGAAATCCTCAAAATATAGAGGGAGGGGTGGGGGAGGAGTGGGGGAGATTGCACTGCTCATTAAAAAACCGGGGGGGATTTGAGAAAAAGGAAGAAATGGAGGGATAGGCAAAAGAATACTTATGGGAACAATCCAGTCTGAGGGGGCCTAAGGTGGGAATTTCAGAATGTACTCCCCCACAAAATGCAAAGGCCAGAGAAAATACACAAGAGCAACAGAGCAAGGTCGACACACTAGAAGAGGTGGTTTGAAGAGCTCAAAAGGGGGGGCAAAGTTAGTAGTTACGGGTGATTTCAAACGCAAGGAGATTGACTGGGAAAACCTGGAGCCCCATGGGGGTTCGAAACATGGAGAGCCAAGATGATGGATGTGGTACTGGAAAACCTCATGCATCAACATGTTAGAGACACTACCAGAGAGAGAGGTAAGGATGATCCAGCAAGACTGGACCTGATATTCACCTTGAGTAGTTTGGACATCGAGGATATCATGTATGAAAGGCTTCTAGGAGCTAGTGATCATGTGGTTGTGTGCTTTGACTACATAGTTGAGCTACAAGTGGAGAGAGTAGCAGGAATAGGATGGGAAAAAAACAAACTACAAAAGGGGGGACTACACAAGCATGAGGAACTTCCTGCAAGACGTTCAGTGGGAGAGAGAACTGGCAGGAAAATCAGAAATAAAAATAGCAGACTATGTGACAACAAAATGCAAGGAGGCAGAGGAGAGGCTTGTTAACAAGGGAAATAGAAATAGTGGGAAGACCACAACGAGTCATTGGTTCACCCAAAGGTGCAGGGAGGCAAAAACTAGGTGTACTAGAGAATGGAAAAGGTACAGAAGTCAAAGGACCCAGGAAAATAAAGAGATCAGCCGAAGAGCCAAAAACAAATATGCACAGATAAGAAGGAAGGCTCAGTGACAATACAAAAATGACATAGCATCGAAAGTCAAGTCTGACCCAAAGCTGTTGTATAGCCACATCACAAGGGAAACAACAGTCAAGGATCAGGTAATCAGACTGAGGAAGGATGATGGGGAGTTCACAAGAAACGACCAAGAGGTATGTGAGGAGCTCAACACGAGATTTAAAGAAGTATTTACATTGGAAACCTGTAGGATTCCAGGAAATCAGAACAGGGAGGTACACCAACAAGTGCTGGAGGAGAGAGGGAGCAGAGATGTTGTGTGTGCCACTAACAAAGATCTTCAACACATTCATTGAAACTGGGCAACTCCCTGAGGTATGAAAGATGGCAAATGTAGTCCCAATTTTTTAAAAAAAGAGACAGACACCAGTCATTAAACTACAGACCTGTGTCACTAACGTGTACAGTATGCAAAACGTCATGGAGAAGATCATCAGGAGGAGAGTGGTGGAGCACCTGGAAAGAAACAAGTGTATAATCGACAACCAGCACGGTTGCAGGGAAGGAAAATCCTGTGTCACAAACCTACTAGAGTTTTATGACAAGGTGACAGAAGTATATCAAGAGACAGAGGGGTGGATAGGCTGCATTTTCTTGGACTGCAAGAAAGCCTTCGACACAGTTCCTCACAAGAGATTACTGCAAAAGCTAAAGGATCAGGCACACATAACAGGAAAGGCACTGCAATGGATCAGAGAATATCTGACAGGGAGGTAACAACGAGTCATGGTACGCGACGAGGTGTCAGAGTGGGCGCCTGTGACAAGCGGGGTTCAACAGGGGTCAGTCCTAGGACCTGTGCTGTTTTTGGTAGTTGTGAATGACATAACGGAAGGGATAGACTCAGAAGTATCCTTTTTTGCAGATGATGTGAAGTTAATGAGGAGAATTAAATCGGTCAAGGATCAGGCAGGACTACAAAGAGACCTGGACAGGCTACAAGCCTGGTCCAACAACTTGCTCCTTGAATTTAAGCCTGCCAAATGCAAAGTCATGAAGATCGGGGAAGGGAAAAGAAGACCGCAGACACAGTATAGTCTAGGTGGGCAAAGACTGCAAGGAAAAAGATCTTGGGGTGAGTATAATACCGCGCACATCTCCAGAGGCGCACATCAGTCAGATAACTGCTGCAGCATACGGGCGTCTGGCAAACCTAAGGATAGCGTTCCGATACCTCAGTAAGGAATCGTTCAATACTCTGTACACCATTTACGTCAGACCCATACCGGAATATGCAGCACCAGTTTGGAATCCAAACCTGGTCAAGCACATCAATAAATTAGAGAAAGTGCAAAGGTATGCAACAAGACTAGTCTCAGAGCTAAGGGAATTGTCCTACGAAGAAATGTTAACGGAAATTGGCCTGACGACACTTGAGGACAGGAGGGTCAGGTGAGACATAATAACGACATATAAAATACTGCGCGGGATAGACAAGGTGGAAAAAGACAGGAGGTTCCAAAGATTGGACACAGAAACAAGGGGTCACAATTGAAAGTTGAAGACTCAGGAGGCGGGAACCACACATAATTTTAAGACGAGGTTTGATAAAGCTCACGGAGCAGGAAGAGAGAGGACCCAGTAGCAATCAGTGAAGAGGTGGGGCCAGGAGCTATGACTCGACCCCTGCAACCACAAATATGTGAGTACAGCACCAGTTTGGAACCCTCACCTAGCCAAGCACGTAAGGAAACTAGAGAAAGTGCAAAGGTTTGCAACAAGACTAGTCCCAGAGCTAAGGGGTATGTCCTTCGAGGAGAGGTTAAGGGAAATCGACCTGACGACACTGGAGGAGAGGAGAGATAGGGGGGACATGATAACGACATATAAAATACTGAGAAGAACTGACAAAGTGGATAGAGACAGAATGTTCCAGAGATGGGACATAGCTACAAGGGGACACAGTTGGAAATTGAAGATACAGATGAATCACAGGGATGTTAGAAAGTATTTCTTCGGTCACAGAGTTGTCAGGAAGTGGAATAGTTTGGGAAGCGATGTATTGGAGGCAGGATCCATTCATAGCTTTAAGCAGATTTATTGTAAAGCTCATGGTGAGGGGAGAGTGACCCAGTAGTGGCCAGTGAAGAAGCGCGGCCAGGAGCTGTGACTCGACCCCTGCAACCACATCTAGATGAGTATAACTAGGTGAGTACACACACACACACACACACACACACACACACACACACACACACACACACACACACACCACACACACACACACACACACACAAAACACCCCAACACACACACACACACCCCACACACACACACACACACACACACACGCACACACCTTTTCACACTCCAACTTAAAAAAAAAAACTCATTCAGTCAATCATTAATCATTCAGACTGTGTGCAGATCAATACATTCTCCCCCAAAAATCCCTCATTCAGAACCGAACAGATAAATACTCGTCAATCATCTTCATTCAGAATCAGATACACAAACACATTCATCACTCTCACCTCTAGTTTCACACCAAATGAAAACTTTCACTACTGAGCTCCTAAGCATTTTTATGTCCAGAAAAAACATTACATATTCATTTCAAAGTCGTACCAGCATGAACAATGCCGCTTATATCCCAGAGATTTTACCTTGACTCCTGCACCAGCTCCTCTGCTACTCCCTACTAACTCTGTGTGAGTGGCGAAGGTAGCAGACGAGATTGTTGAGCTAGAGATGACTCCACTTGAACAGATGACGTGCTGTATCCCAGTTACAGGTCGTCTGCAACGATTGTAATTAACTGCTCACTACTTGTGCTGAAGGAGACTCACCGCACCCTTGTCACAGGTCTGCCTCTGCTATAGGCCTGTAAACGATACTTCACTTGACCCAAAGAAGACTCAACGTGCCCTTGCCATAAGATTGCTTCTCTCAAAGGGCTTTAAATGTTACAAAAGTTTCTCTACAAACTCTTACCCTCTTTAGGGAACCAGTGTCAGGACTTTGTTCCTAGCGACTATATTATCATCACCCTTTGTGATTCTCTGAGTGATTTGCTGGTTATTTGTGTACTGTTCCAGTCACCGTTTTGCACCTCTTTATTCTTTAATCATGTTTAAGACTCTCTTAGCCAGAGTGAACATTCATCAAGAACATCCAGTTAATAACAATCAATATCTCACAGATGCTAATACAGTCAATGAGTTATTGTTTATGTGATGTATGTGGTCAATGTCACGCTTAGTATTTCATCAGCATTATGTGGATCCCCATTGTCTCTTCCTGTTTCTAACTAATTTATCGCTTTATGTTATAGTTCATTTAATAGCGTTGTGGTATGTAATAATTAGATCATTTTGACATATATACAACAATCTAACGTAACTGAACGTAACCAAACTTAACCAAAATACAGCTGTGTGGCGTAAATCGAAAAGTTTGTTGTTAAGAAATATATAAAGAATCAGAATTCCCGTTATTTCTTAAGATGATGAATTTATTAATTCAACAGTCTTACCTACAGTGATATATTGACTATGATTATGAGGATGGAATATTATAATAGTAATACAGTGGACCCCCGGTTAACGATATTTTTTCACTCCAGAAGTATGTTCAGGTGCCAGTACTGACCGAATTTGTTCCCATAAGGAATATTATGAAGTCGATTAGTCCATTTCAGACCCCCAAACATACACGTACAAACGCACTTACATAAATACACTTACATAATTGGTCGCATTCGGAGGTGATCGTTATGCGGGGGTCCACTAATATTGTTGTATGTACCAGCTTCTCGGCTTTTAATTTACATTTTTTATACTTATCATATTGTTTGTGTCATTTATAATATACAAAGTTACAGATAATATTACAAATTCCTTAAGCTGTTACATGTTCTTACATTTATTGCATTTTTCGTGATTACTGACTCATGTATTTTGTTATTCAACTTATCTTATGACATTTTTGTTGC